GACCAACATCATATTTGCTTGGCATGGAAGTACATAAGTTTTCATGTAACAATTCACATTTTCAGTGTAAGTAGTTCCAAAAGCATATTGATAGTGCTCATTTCACCAACTACAACGTGGTTGACACACCGAAGTAGCTTTATTATCAAACACTCCAAAGAGGATGGTTGTCAACTAACTTTAACTTAGATGATGATCATCTTCATCTCATAGTTGTACATTCACTAATTGTCATGTTTGACAAGCCATTGATCCCCATCTTCTATCATTCATCAATCTATACCAGAGCTAGAGGCCTATGCTAGGCCTTATTGAGCAAGTTGTCCTGACACTCTAAGCTCTATAGAAGGTTTTGTTTAATGGGACATTCTATCATCTCCTATAAATGCAAGAAGTTAGATATGCGGTCCAAGATCAGCATTTAAGATGTATGTGTTCTACCCAGTGTTTGCAAAATCGAACCAAAACGGTTAACCGGTGGTGAGGCTGGGAGCGGTTTGAACCGAAATCGGACTAACCGGAGTGGTTAACCGGACTAACCGGTCAAGTAGATTTTTTATAAAAAAAAAAGGGTCAAAACCCCCCAAAAAAAATTAAAAAAAAGTAAAAAAACTTAGAATAAGTATACACTATCATATTACATACATTCATCTTATAAAAAAAATTTGAAACAACTTTTTTTATAATTTAATATTTGAATATTATGGAGATATGAAGACAATTTATAATTTCACATAAATTCAATTGATGAAGTTACAAAGTCCAACTAACAATGGATGATGCAACAATATATGCTTCTATATTGTTTTAATGTTGATGTTAAAAATAGTTGTTTTAATATTGCAAACCCTTTAATACGGTTTAGAATTGGGTTTGAGAGCGTAGTAGCATGATGTTCCCAGTTTTCAAAGGGTTGTGAGTCAAGGTAGTAAGAGAGAGCACATCATTTACTCCATACCTTGGTTAACAAATGAAGGGTGTGGGTCAATGTGTTAAGTGCTGCTTCAAATGGCCAAATCACATATTTTAAAAAAATATGGCCAAGTCAATTGTCAAATGGCCAAATCAATTTTGAAATGGCCAAACCTCATTTACTCAGGAACCTTTTGAGTTCGGTTTTAACATGAAAAAAAAAAAAAAAATTAATATAAGATGGCACCTTTAAAATGTAGAATCAAGATGCATATTTAAAAAAAAAACACAACAGGCTAATTTTTTATCCATTTCAGTATGTGGAAACATGAGATATGAATAAAACACTTTTTAGTTTCTACCTTTGATTCTACATATTTTTTAAAAAAAAAACAGGTTAATTTTTTTTTCATTTCAGCATGTGGAAACATGAGAGATGAAGAAAACACTTTTTAGCTTCTACCACTTTTTTTCATAGAGGCTAATAAATAGATTTAAGAGGTATGAAGTTGCAACAAATGATAGATAGCTTGTAACACATAAAAAAACAAATTAGAAGAAAATGTCACAACTAAACAAGAAGTTGAGAAGACTGACAACAGTAACATACACCAAAAATAACCTTAAAAACAAATAATTTTTTTCTTCTCATATTCAACACAAAAAAATATTTTTATAAAAAAATATATAACATAAAAAATAATCCAACAAGCTCACCAAAAGTATATAACATTAAAAAGAAAGAAATATTTGTTTTTCTCATATTCTTCACAAAAAAACACGTTTTTGAAAAAAAAAATAATAAAAACATAAAAAATAATCCAACAAGCTCACAAAAAATATATAAAATTTATATATAT